AAGTCGGCTGCCACTCCGTGCTGCTGGCTGTGTATCAGAGGTGGCAGCAGCATGGGGCGGCTGCCAGCTCCCCAGGAGCAGGGCCAGCAGGCAGGAGCCAGTACATGCTGGGAGTAGGCTTAAATGCCACCCTGCACTGAAGATGCATGTAACTGCTTTTCAACATCCCTAGTGGAAACCAGAATACTATGTGAAAGTTTATTAAAATTAAGATGTCCATATTTCAGAATTACTCCTTCCATATAAGCATTCTATAGTGAACCTGTATGTTTAGAGTAAGCTCCTAGAGCTGTAATTTAACACAATATGGCTCAGCAGACAAGAAAAGGAGAATTTCATGCTCATATTTTCTTTTATATGAAGCCAAGCAATCTATCCCCTTTAGAAACAGTTGTAGTCCAATATTAGCTAGTCTGTTCCAAGACTCTGACCTTGTAAAATCAATTATTTAGGACCATGAATCCCCTGAAAGATCACATAATCAAGCTCAAGTAAGCACTGATGGGAAATGGGGAGAAGGAAAGTCAGTTGATAGTCATGTGACAAGGCTATAAGAAAAGGTGACCTGAGTCTATAGCTCAAGCTGGAGAGAGAATTGCATGCAGCAGTAGAGCCAAGAAGGTGGGAGGCATACCAGAAGTTAGGCAATTCCCCATGAGAATTAAGCTGCACAGAGCAGGAAGTGCTGGCAGGCTCTTCAGACACTGAATCCTGGAGAGAATGGGCTTAGGATCAACCAAGCAGGTGGCAGGAACAGGGAAGGAATCTACAACCTACCTCTGAGCCCCCAGAGGCAGAAAAGGCTAAAGGAATTATTTCTGAAGTCCTGCTAATCCATGAAGCAATCCCCGGTACTCAAGAGAGGGAAGCCAACTATTTCTGGTAAAGAATTAGAATGGCTTACGACAGCGCACACACACGCACGCACACGCACACGCACACACACACACACACACACACACACACACACACACACACATGCAGCGCCATCCCCTCCCCCAGCACAGCTGCACACAGTCCTCCCCCCAGAGCCGTGGCCCCCCTGTGACAGGCGCTTTGCCCCTGCAGGACGTGGAGCTGAAGGTGGAGGCGGCCTGCAGGGACATGCAGGAGGAGTCCTACTTACCTGGCCACAGATCCTTCACCTTCTCCAAAGAGCTGCCATCCTAGCCCGGTGTGCGCCCGCCGCAGCGTGGTACGGTCCTGGCGCCGGGCGGGGGCTGGGCTGCTCAGGAGTCCTGCCGTGGCCCCTTCCCCACTCTGGCACGATAAATACAGAAGTGGGGGCCGGCAAGTGAACCCCAAAACCTTCGCTACCAGGCTTTGGTAGAAAACTTCCCCCAAACTCTTTAAACCCTAGATTGTTGGGATAGAACTTCCACTGCCACCACCCAAATATGCATGAAGGAATCGGGGAAATCTCCCCCCTAAAGTAAAAATCAGGGCCCACCATTAACCAATCCCACGTTAATAAAAAGAAGAGAAAGAACTTTTCTTATCGCCACGACATTCCTGTGGCCGGCAGAATGACGAGAGGGGGCCTGGAGACCTCCGTGGGCCTAGAACGCAGGTACAAGGACAAGCCAGAACATCTTTAAAACGTGCCCAGACAGCAGGTCCCAAACCCGACCCTTAACCGCTGAAACCTGACGGATTTCTCCGAGAGGGTTTAGCATTCCCCGAGGAGTAGCAGTGAATTCGAACGAAAGACGTAATTCGAATTAACGTTTCGGTGCCGTGTGTAGCCGCGCGCCAGGGAGGTCGGGCTAGTGACATTTCAAAATGGCGACCGGACGGGAGCATGCAAATGAAGCCGGGATACTGAAATCTCGGGCTTCATTGCAGCTCCGGTTCCTGCTTTGCCTGCCTAGCTCGAGTTAACGGGCGGGTGTAGACAGACCCTCACAGAGAGACAGGAGGGAAAAACCCAAATTCCTTTGCCCCATTTGCAGGTCCCACCCTGCCAGTCCCGGGGGGCCCTTGCTCCCCCCCAGGCCACCTGGTGCTGTGAATGTGACCCACTGGGCTGCCTGGGCAGGGCGGGCTCCTCCCCCCTCTCTCCTCCTCCCCTCCCCGAGACAAGCCCCCCGGAGAGCGGCCCCCAGCGGTAACCCTAACCCCGCGCTGTCTCCTCTTCCCAGGCAGCGCCAGGGCCCCTCGCCCAGCGGAGACCCAGCGGCCCCGCCAGCCGGTCCGACAACCCCAGCACCGGGCCGGCCTGCCCCCCTGAATTACCCCCCTGGCACCGCTGCACCGGCTGTTCCTCCCAATAAAGGCAGAGCTACGCTGCGGAAGGGCTGGGCTGTCGTTCGCACGGGGGCTGCCCGGACAGCGGACGGTCGCTCGCTCGCTCCAGCCGGCGCCGGGGTATTTCTCGGGCCCCCACGCCAGCATCTGCAGTGGGCTGTCGTTCGCACGGGGGCTGCCCGGACAGCGGACGGTCGCTCGCTCGCTCCAGCCGGCGCCGGGGTATTTCTCGGGCCCCCTCCCTGGGGTGGAGGGTTTAGAGCGAGAGGGGCTGATCACGGGGTGTGACACCCCCACCCACTTTTATGAGCCAGGCTCCAGCGAGCAGGCAGTTGCGGGTGACGGACCAGGCCAGGCAGGCAGAGATCTGGGGACAGCAACAGGGCCCAGGGGGTGGCTCCCAGAACAGCTCAGGGTCCAGGGCGGAAGCCCCCCAAAATTCCCAGGCCCCCTTGTGGCAGCCTGGCCCAGCGGCGGGAGAAAAGGCTCCAGGCCCTGAAGCACAGGTGGGGGGCGCATAGTGGGGAGGAAGAGCAGCACACCAAGTAAGCAGGCCCCACGGCGCCATGGGGCTCATGCGCAGTCCGGGATGCTCCAGACTGGCGGGTGCTGCAGACCGCCGGAGCCCGACGAGCGCCACGCTGAGCCGCGCACCCGGAGGCTGGGGCTCGCGTTGTGGAGACCCCTCTGCCCAGCTGTGCCCAGGCCCTCGAGCAGGGCACAGACACACACAGCAGCAGCGGGTGCCAGAGCCAGCGTTTATTTCCATCCTTCCCTGCTGGAGAAACAGCGCGACCGGTTCCACCCGAGGGACAGCGCCCTCCAGCAGCTGGGCCCGGCCA